CTGTTTCTAGGCTTCCTAAGATAAATAATAGGTTTAGATATAATGTATAGGATAATTAATTAATTGTATTTATTGTGTTAATTTTTTGATCCTTTTTCCTGCTCTACTTGTGTTGCTCGGCTTTTTGTTTTGCTGATCTGAGTCCCTTGCGCACTTGCCCTATGCGCGACCAGCTTGCAAAATGCTGCAATTTGCTGCAAACTGCTGCAACATGCTGCAAAATGCTGCAATTTGCTGCAACATGCTGCAAACTGCTGCAATTTACAGCAACATACTGTTCGAGCTTATTGCTCGTACTATGTAGCAGCTTTCGTCAAGCGTTCCTCCTGTCTTGACAGTAGGTGCGCAAATCTGACAGCTGCAGTGTATAAATATAGTTAATAATATTAAAAAGTACACTTAAAAGTCTATACTTTTACTACTCCTTTATAAATGCTGCTTTATTAGTAAGCTTGTTAACTTCTTTATTATTATATAAGTCTATATCTCTGCTCTAGAGCAGTCTCTACCTAATTAAATTAATTATATAAGAGCTATAGTAAAAGTGTTAGTAAATAAAATTAAATTTAAGCTTATAAGTAATTATAGTAACAGCAGTGTTATTATTAAAAGCATTATTAAAAATAAAGTAACTAAGTATGCGCTTACTTATGCTAAACTGCTTTAATATTAATAATATAACCTTAGCTAGTTAATTACTAGTGTAAGCGCCTATAAGCTAAGGCAGCGTAATAGGTAGGTCTTAAAGCTTACTATTTAAGTTAATATAGTAGGCAATAATACTAAAAAACTTACGCTTACTAGCTTTTATTATTTATTTGTTAAAGCTTATATAGATTCTACTAAGTAATTATAACAGCTTATAAATAACATAAGGCCTAAGCTAGTTAAACAGTTATATAACATATTAGAAGACGCTTTTATAGTTCTTCTACAGCGCTGCTTTAGCAAGCAGGTTAGTAATAGTAATTAAGTATTAAAAAGCTAGTGTTTTAAACTTAAAGATAAAGTAGTTATTTATAATAAGCTAGTTAACTATAGTAAACTTAAAGCGCTACTTACTAAAGCTGTTAATCTAATTAGCTACTGCCTATAAAATAGGGACTTTTATAATAATAAGTGTGTTATAAACACTAGTAATTAGAGTTTTACTTAGTGCTATAAGCTTATAGCTAGGCTTCTGCTTACTAAGGTAGCACACAGCTAACAAAACTGCTACGCTTATATTATATATCCTAATACTAATATCTGTAAGCTTATGCTTAAAACACTAGTAGCAGATAAAAAATATATAGGTTAGATTTTTAAAAAAAGTAACATAATAGCTATAGTAATAAATCTAACTTTACTTATGTTAGTGCGTTATAATAAGCTTTATATACAGCTTAAGATAATTTTAATCTATGCTATTATAATTATTTTTAAGATAAGTGTTAAAAGCTTTATTTATAGTGTTATTAGCTACTTTAGAAGACAAAGTAAGCGTAGCTTACTTACTACCTTTAGTAGGCGCAATAATAGTGTTTTTAAGCTGTAACTTACACAATTATAACTTAAAAGTATGTGTATATAAAGGCAGCAAAGATAAGGCAGATAGCTAAGATTAAAATAATAGTAAGTTAATTATAATAAGCTAGCTTGTAGTGCTGCGCACGCGCTTTTTAGGCAAGAGAGCGCTATTAGAGATACGTTTCTTGGGCGGCATAAGGGCGACAATAGGGTAAGGTATACAGCAATAGATCTGCAACACTAGAAGTATATAGCATTATAGGTGATAGATGGAGATAGAGTATACAATATAAGACAACGCGCTAGCTGCTAGTTACACAGAGTTATTAGATATTACACAATACTACATAGTAAATAACACTAAGAAAAGTTTAGTATAGAGCTTTTATAGCTATCTAAGCTGCCTTATAAGCTGCCTTATCTCTAAAATTTACTATATACTTAAGGTAATTAAGCTATTAATCTAAATTAAGCTTACAGAAAAGCTTAGCTAGATTAATTGCGTTTCTATATAAGGTTTAGCTAGATTAATTAAATTAGCTTAGCATCAATCTTCTAATCAAGCTATTAAGCTAGCTTAATTGATCTTAGGTGTGCTTTATACAACAGTGCGTACCTTTTCTTGTTATAAGACTCTACGTCTATAAGCCTATTTCTTTTCCTAATTTCAACATGGCAATTTTGCTGGTTGAAGTGACAAAATATCCCGATAGAGGCAACTGCTGACAAACATTTAACTTGCAATGCAAGTGCAAGCGGAGCTGAAGTCAGACCTTTACACTATTAACCTAGAATATTCACGACTTGTAAGACTTAGCATAGGTAGAGTACATAGATCAGCTTAACGGGGCCTATTTAGGCTTCCTAATGTTTCACTCACACTTTTCTTCACTTTTCTGGCTTCCAACCTAGGCGCTAGACTATTTAAGACTGGCGTCTTCACTTAGCTAGCGCCTTTGCAACTGCCGATAGACAACTCTCTACGTTCCTCAACATATAAAAAAGTTGTACTACTAATAGTGTTAGTAATCCCACTGCCATTCACCTACTCAACATCAACTACACTTCTCAACATCAGGCTACACTTCTCAACATCAGGCTACACTTCTCAACATCAGCTACACTTCTCACCCTCAGGCTACACTTCCGAAGCGCCTAATACGCTTTCAGTTCTAGCAAGTCTGCTGCCCCTTCGGGATTGCAAACAGTACCCCCGCCAAATTTCACACCTTGTAAATCAACAGATATTAAGGTTCCAAGCTCCTTTCCAAGCGTCAACCCAAAGCATACGCTCTTAAGCCCCGATCCACAAAATCGACCTCAACACCTAGACACTCAATTAGCGCCAGACTCTATCAACCTAGGGTATGGAACACCCCCCAGCCAGGGCTTCTCCACTTGATAGCGACATAGGACGGACAGAGAGCTCAGGAGAGCAAGCAAAAAATAAGAAGACAGCCGCATCAACATCTCGCAAGTGAACATCTATTCGCGACCATTCGCAACAAAATCCAATGCCTTTCAGCGACCAACACCGAGAGTCAACGCAGACAGCGGACGAGGGCGCAATCATGCCGAAAACGGTAGAAGATCTTCACAAGAATAGGCTCCTATGGTACAAGCTCCACATCTTCATGTATGATCATCGAAATTTTCGTTCCAACGAAGTGAGCCGTACACGCCTCGACATAGTCATCTCTCTTAACTACATCGGGTAGCTATATTTCTCTGATGACGAAGCACGAACGCTGCGGAACACAACTATTAAGGGAGGAAGTGCATTGCAAGAAGACCATTATTTTTTTTTCAGCCTAAAACTCCCAGCAAGGCTTCAGAGTAGAGCAAAGTCCAGTACGATTACAGGATCTGCGCCGCCCATGATGTGGCTCCGCTTTTTGAGAAGGCGTTTGGTGTGATGGAGGGGGATCTAAAGAGGAATAAAGAGTTTGTTAGGCTGGTGAGGAAGAGGGGGCTAAATCTCAGCAAGGGGAGGTTTAGCTAGAGATGGGGTTGAAAACCTCACGATGATTAGATTAGCACATGTCTTATAAGGGTTTAGATAGCTCCTTTATCATTAGAGAAGGCGGAAATTATTCTATTCTAGTTAGTCTTTTAGAAGTCGTTTAGAAGTAAACTATAAAATAGCGTAACATGTCTCTATAAGAAACTTAAAGGTTGTATTAAAATATAGAGGGTGTCTGTAAAGTGTTCAGAGAGCACACTTGAACATGCTTTTAGACAAGAAACCAGCCTTTAAAAGCATTAACAACAATAAGGTAGACTATAACGGTGTTTTTATATTAGAGGTGCTGAGAACACTAAATATGGATATTACTAAGGCGAAATGTATAGTAAATATTAGACGTATGTTTTGGTTCATGCACATCTACAACTTTTCACATGTCTTAATTGCCTACCCCACATAGCTAATCTTCTCCTTAAACCCGCTTTTTACTACATTGTCTAGCTTCTTTAGTCCCTTGTCTAGTTAGGTCTTAAGATCCTTATTAACCTTCTCGACTTCTTTAACTATTAGCAAATCAATACCAAGCACCTCGCGAGAAACTCTGAGGGCATTCTAGAGAATAGAGTAGTGGAGCAGGCGTTTCTTCATATTAACGACGTATTCCCTTGTTTCCCTACTAATTTCTTGCTTTATTTCTTGTTGGATCCTTGTTCATTGCTTTCAGCCCAGCGGGCAGTGTGTTCTGTCTAACTCACATCAGCAACTTCATAATCTGAAAGAGGGAGCAGACGAGACATACTGTATTCCACCCACCTGATATATCACCTCCCATCAACCTCCCAGCATACTTCCTCGCCTCCCTAAACTTATCTTCTCTATTAAGTTGAGTTTTTAACACAGCAATTGCCAGGGGATTGCTTCTAACATTCTTTGCCCCTACCCTAGTCTCCTCTAAATGCTCTTTATTCTCTATTAACTTAACATCCTGCTCTACAGACACAACACCTTATCTCCTCTTCCCACCGGCTACTCGCAGCTTTATTATGAAGCCCCTGCATCACCTTATACATCACACTCTTATTCTTTGTCCTTAGATTTGTTTTACTCGCCCTCTGCAGCGCTCTTAAAACAAGATAGTATTGTAGCTTCGTTCTTGTTTCACATAATTTTCTCCAGTCACAAGGAGCAGAGTTTGATGCCGCCATCGTAGAATTCTTCCATCATGTGCACCACGTTCTTCTAATCCTTACTGCTCTTACAGTTGTTGACACCCTCCCGGGTGACGTTCCATCGTGCGGGCTGGTCGCGGTTGCGGTCGATTTGCTTGAGTGGGAGAGTTATTTTGCCTAAGGTTATCTCGAGGGGCCTGGCTTCGAGGTGGGGACGGTTTTCGAACTTGCACACCAAATCCTCCTGCCCCTCTGTGAAGTGTTCGGGAGAAGACTTTGGCGTGGAAATTTAGTAGGATGGAGGAGAGTTCCGGGATTAAGGGTTTGAGGAACTGCAGGAGGGCGCCTGGGGTAGAGGGTTAACCGAAATGGTCTGTTGGAGGGTAGAGAGGGTACCTTGTTGGCACGCGCTACACCGTGAAAATGCGCATCGCGAGCCATTGGCAACATGGCGGATGGGTAGCCCCGCTGCATTGACTACGTAACGGGCGTTTGGTGGATGGAGTGAAATATTGGGAGCTGCGGAGTTTTCAGGAGTGAGTACCCTAGGTCACGTTTTCGTCTCACCCCGTGCCTTTTAACTCGTGGCGAGTCACAGTGACCCTGGGCCGTAGTAAAGCGGTATAGCATGATGGGGTGCGAGCAAAGATGGTTGGTTGATAGAGCGCGAGCGATCGCGCGCATTTAAGTGAGGGCAAGCCATATTCTAGTGAGGTGAGCATAGCAGAGGAAGCTTTGGGATCGTTCAGTTGTTAGAATCCAGGAAGCATGAAACGAGACACTGCGGGGTAGTGCAGGAACTAGACAAGAAAAGCTAGCAGGTGACTCTAAAAGCGGCTCCGGGGAACATCTAAAAAAGGAGTCAAAAGTCCTCGGACACAGGGTTACTATGATAAATTTCAGCTGCCCACTAGCTTAACCTGCACTCAGATAATCATCGAATACAAACATTAGACACTTTCAAATACAATGAGCCCGATCTCGTAATATGGTTGCGTTCAAGTATACAATTTCTTGAGTTGGGTTTTTTTATGTACAATCTCATGTGGTAGAATAATCTTGACATAGGAGGGTCAAGAACAACGAACGACAGGCAAAACAAGTCCCGTTCCATACCAACTTTGACCATTGATAAAACACTTGGCTTGATGTAGTTTGAAGGAGTCAATGTCATATGACGGGTGGAGCAAGATCGAAAAGAGCGTGTTCGGAGAGAGTTGGTACAATTGAAAGAAGCTACAATTATCGGTCGAGAACGAATCGGTGTGCGTGATAGAGGGCTCAATCCTTTCCATGTAGTCAATATCTGTTACAATGCCCGATTCAGCTCACAAATTCGAAACGTACTTACCTCAACCTAAATGCAACCAGATGGACACCCACAATCAGAGGGGCCCCCAATACCACGGCAGCACGAATGGAAACTGCTTAGACTGTTCGCGATGGAGCTCGCCTGGCAATCATCTCCAAATTGGAAGTTTCCGCCAATTTGGTTGCAGCAAGCGTGAGTGCCAATCGGACTTGAAGAACCACCGATGAGACACTTGCAGGCCTCGGTAGTGGAGAGGATAGTGGCAGTGACTACGGCGATGAGCTTGAAGAGCTGCATGTTGGGTTTTGGAAAGATGTTTTCAGATGTAGATGTAGAAAAAGAGACAGGAGTGATGATGTGTTTGATCAGGTACTGTTTACCCAGCGGGTTTCTGCTTTCTTTTATATGTCTGCACACCACCCCTGGTGGTGTGTTCGCACATCACCTCTGTACTTAGAATCCTGCAGCAGCGACAGTATACACTGCAACATTGGGTTCAGTATACGAATCTGCACTATTGAAGGGATGCAATCCTACGTCGGGAGACCTCCAATACACTGCGCGACAGGGAAGAATGTGAGATGCCCTAGTTCCTTCTGGTTCCCTCGGTAGAAGTTGCGAGACCGATAGTGTCAGGCAGTCTTGAAAATCCTTTTATGGAATTTTTCAAATGTGTGCTCATGTAGTAAGTGACGGATAAGGGAATATATTAGGCACTTTCTAGTAGGTAACGAATCACAGCCATTCACACTTGTAAAAATTCCCAGTTGATTCCTATATTCCAGTACTGGAAGAGCAGAAATTTCATACAGGAAGGGGAAAGAGTGAAACGGAAAGAATTCTTCCCTGCGGCAGTATCACTTGCTAGATAGATAGGCACCATCTGTATATTGCTGATTGGTTAGAACTGCATTTAATTTCGTATCAAGTAACGTTGCTAGGCGTAACTGGACATTTTAATAGATCTCCGATCTCAGGTTCAGTATTCATGAGGCTGATTTGGGTGCGCCTCGAAATTATATTCACTACTGCTTCTTGGCTTTTTTGCTGGCTCAGACAATCAAATACATCGTTTAATATTACGCTCAAGGCTGAAACGCTTATTTTTTGCCTCACGAAATTCTAAAATATATTTGATCTCAGGGCTATTCAATGCCTCCTGACCAATTGAGAATGATTTCCACATTGTTGGGAAGAACTATAGTGCCTTTCTCCGGTGAGTTCCGCTGGACAAACCTGAACATAGCCTCGAAATCCCTTTTGGATATATTCCGATATATTCCTGATCTGGTATATTGCCGACCGATGCTAGACCGGATAGGTGACCCATACCTGTTACCCTGGTATGTCATCTTATTTACTCGGTTGCCTCCAAACCCAGAGATGTAGTCGAATATTACTTCACTATAAGGCCAAAATGTGAGCCCCTCCCGCTAGCACACAAGTCGAGGTGGGGAAATCCCGAGGTTCTAGAGAACGAGGCTCATGCCGGGTTTTAATATAAAATATGTTAGAAGGATCGCATTACGGGACCCAGACGTTGAAGGATTCGGGATTACGCGAGTTATCGAACACATGACATCACGCGAGAGTGATAGGCATAAATGAAAGAGGGGTATTTATTGTCCCTTTCTAGACTCCACAAGTTCATTTTGGGTAAGGGTTGCGGGGAGTATTCGCGCTGGTTTGGAATACTATTATTTTTTTTTCTCTCACTCAAGCGGCGTAAAATTTGACACAGTGATATAAATTACAATTCGAGAACGAAAGATATAGCACTTACGTCCTAGCAAATTTAAAGAATGGAAATACTATCTTGCTAACTAATCCGTTGAAGGTGGTTATTGCTATTAACATACAACAAGATGCTTCACGTAAACTGTGTATGGTTAAGCCCACCAACATCAAATTCAAACATCGCATCCCTTAAAATCTTGAACCACTGCTCCTCCCATCTCTACCACTAACCTCAACCCGGAAACTCACAAACCTAGTGTACACCCTCTCCGACATCATTATGCTTACACAGCCCCGCCCATCTTTATTTACCCACCATGGCTATTACATACAGCCTGCAAAAATGGTCCTATATTACAGGCTTTAACACTGGATAGGTAATAACGAGGAAAGTCGCAGAAATTAAAAAAGGCAAAGTTAATTAATTCCAACTATACACGTGCGTTCGGTAGTCTGAAACATGGCGGGGTTTGCGGATTGAACGCGCAGAGCTCAAGTATTCCTGAGCTAACTGCCCACGAAGACGTTCTATTCGCTAATATTATAATTCGTACTTCGAGGAATAGCTGTGATATGTTGCGAGATGGTGTTCTTTTGCTGTTTCCAACAGCCAAAGGCTGAAAGTCGGGATTAGTTTCGTTGACAGCCTGCTGTCACCCGTTATCGTTGAGGAACTACTATTCTGCGAGACGCTGTCCGTGTAAGCAGAGAAAATTGTCGCAAAACAGAACTCGATCGCATTGTACAGCTCACATAACAACGCCGCTTAACTTCATGCATTTTTTATTTCAAGATCTATCGGCCCTTGTCCCCGTTCTTCTACTTCATATTTATCGTAGCCCTTTTCAACTTTCATCCTACTACAGCCCTTAACTAAAATCATAGCAGACAGTTTATCTTAATAAGCACTGTACTGTAGACCGCGTGAATTTTTACGATGATGCCTCTGGGAATGGTAACGCGGGAAGATCCATTAGGGCATTTCAGGAAGAGTTATAACGCCTTTTGTGCCCCTACTGTTGTATCTATCGACAACGCGGCCATCTGTATACTACTTGTTTATACTTGTTTATATAGATTTTAAGTAAAGAAATGGTGCAGCATAGCTGTAAAAAGTTTAGAAGGCGCAGTAAACGTAAAAAGGCCTTAGAGAAGTTAAAATTAATATAAATTATACTAATTTTAAATGTTCTATTAGCAATTTGCTTCTAAACTCTACAACACTATTATATAGCAGTTTAATATACTTATATACTTATAATATTACTTTCTTATTATGTTACCTGCTAGCTGTAAGCCTTTAGCGTGTTATTGCTTCTTAAGCCTTAAGTAGTTAATCTACCTCCAAACATCTTTAGTGTGCTTATAATACTATTTCTTTGCTTTTATTTATATTAGTTTTTTTTTAAAATTAACATTGTTAAAGCCTTTATATAATACATAAGTACAAAGCACTTAAAAGGTTATGATTTAAAAGCTGTCTATAATATGTTATAATAGAAAGAGTAGTTTAGTAGTAAAAAGGTAAACCTACATTAGCTAATTTATAATATAAAACATAAATTAAGTTCTCTTAGTTAGTAGCTAGTGTTGTTTATATAGCAGCATAGCGTAAATCTATTATTACATTAGGAATAAATTACTGCTAATAAGGACTATTAGTCTATAAAGAGAGGGGGTGGGGGGGGTAGTGTAATAATTCTTATAAATTATTCTATTTTAGGTTGCCTAGAACCAATCTAAAGGGTCCCTGTATTAGCCTCAACCCTAACTTGACCTTGCTCTAACCCTGCCCTGCCCTCTGCTGTACCCCTATTTCCCTAAGTATTTAGTCGCACCTCTCCCCTGTAGCTAGCTTAGTAGTTTTCTAATATCCTTTTATACAGGGCCTATAGAAGTTTATATATATATTTTATAATAAGCGCTATTAAATAAGCTTATGCATTTACTTTAGTTTTATACATGATAATAAAAGATACTATAAGAAGAAAAGAAAGCTAGTAAGTAATAAATTAAAGCTATACTTTAATACTTTAGCTAAAAATGTTTATATAAAAAATTCTCTGCCTAATTAACTACTTAAGTAGTAGTAGTAGTAGTAAAGCTAAGTTTTTACTTAACAGTTTATAAAGTAGCTTTTAATATCCTTACTATTCTAGTAACTTTATGTAAGTGTAAAACAGCTTTTTATATATAATAATTAAAGCAATAAAGCTATAGAAAAACTAGCTATATAATAAAGTAGTAAGTAGTATGTTAATTAAGCTAGCTAAGTATATTAAAATAGGAAAAAGTATAGCTTAGAAAAAGAATTAATTAACCTTTACATCTACTACTTCTTTTTAATAAAGTTAGATACTTTTTAAACCGCCTGTTATACTCTATATAGTATAGTATAATCCATTAATTTACCTGTTACAATGTACTGCTAGTTGCCCTCCTTTGTCTACTTAGTACAGTTAGTACGTATAAGCATCTTAAACTGTACAGTACACTGTACAGCCTCAAAGCTACTCTGTTACGTACGGATGGCCGCGTCGTCTATCTAGCTTCCCTTGTCATCCCGGCCGATGAAGCATTATATTAGCCAGTGACACTCTCAGGGATTCAGTGGTTAAGAATTAATATATGAAAGTAAAGGACTTAGGGTGAATCTAAAACTACTTTGTGAAGCATTTAGAAGCACCAGAGGCCTGAGATATTAAGTTAATTGCCAAATAAGTGTACCTACAGGTCGTTATATGCAAAGGTGTGGGCTGGGTAGCAAATGCCTAAGCAGCAGGTAAAATAGATAACCAAACAGGCAGTGTACTATGAGAAGGAAATATGTCACCATTTAGCTAGGATCCGGCTATATCTGTAACTGCAAATATTCTCAGATCTCGACCTAAAATATGGATGTTCGCGAGTGCTGAGGAACCCTGAACCCGACCCTTACTCCCACTTCCTCAAGAGCTCACTCACATCCTCTAGCTCACTTTTAATGACTTCCACATGCCGTTGACTTCTCGGCGTAAACTGGACTTGAAATGGCATCGGTCCAGCTATCAGCTTGTCCTCAAATGCCTCTGGGTCGATCTCTATTTTCTCGCCTGTTTTCTCATCAACTGCGTGCTCAATACGGAAGGCCCAAAGCAACCGCGCAAGCATACGCCACTGGATACGCTCAGCGAGCTGGATGCCAGCACAGATGCGACGGCCAGCGCCGTAAGCGTAGTGATCGCGGTTCTGGTAGTCTGAGCATCCAGCGTAATCAGTAGCGAGACCCGGGTGATTGAGGTAGCGATCAGGATTGTAGGTATCTGGATCATCGTATTGAGAGTGGCTAAGAGCCCAATGGGGAATTATTATGGTAGCGTCTTTAGGCTAGAATACTAATCAGCAATCACTTCCTCAATACCAGCCTACAGATAACTGACAATCAACATGCCCTCATACCAATTGCCTTGGCTGCAGCGGTGTGGGATACCTGTAGGAACTCTACAACAACATGGTTAAGACCAAAAATGGTTAGAAGAAGGTCTCTGGGACATAATAGCTTACACGGGTCGGATTCGTAGACCTTCTTTCATGATACAATTAATGTATGGCAGGTCTTTAAAATCAGCAAAAGTAGGTACCCTATCCACGCCGCAGAGTGCATCTAGCTGGATTTGAGCTTTGTCTTGAACCCACGGGTGGGTAGCAAGAAACATGATGTTGGTGCGCATGGCGAGGGCACCAGTTTCAGCGGCACCCTGCATTAGAGCTCCAACAAAGTTAGCAAGCTTTGTTCCATGGAATGGGACATCAAGTTTCGTCCTTCCATCGAGCAACTGGTCCATTAGCGACTCTCGCTTGTCGCCCTGGTTGCGACGCGACTCGATGCGCTCTCGAGCTTCAGTCCATATCTTGGTGGGTATACTAAAGCCTTCCTCTGCACGGAGATGTGCGGGGTTCCACCGTTTGGGTATTAATTTGAAGATTGGGAATTGCTCCGACGGGAAATATGTGCCTGGACTTATAGCTCTGTTGAGCTGTGTTATCAAATTCAGCTTCTAATTCACACGAACGGGGGGATTTTTTCATACTGCCTCCATAGCTTTGTAGACGCCCTGAACTAGTCAGTAATGCATACAGATGACTTCTAGAAGTCAGCTTACTTTTGCCCAAAAGTCATCGTGAGATTTCGCACGCTGCCCAAATAGCGCAATGGCGGAGAATGAAGCAGTCGAGCGATCAATATGTTTGCTGAAATCTTCAGGGCAGACGAGTAAATCGTGCATTAGGGTGGTAACTCTGTTCCTAACGTCAGCACCGTAACATCGCCTTTCTTTGGTTGAAAATTAAAACCCTGTCACGGGCTTTCTCGCGCGAACCCCCCATTCGGGCAACACGTACTCTGCCTCTGAAATCTTTCCCAGATCGCCATCCAGTTTGGAAGGTGCTAAGAAGCGCGCAGTCATTTTCCGTTGAGCTCTCCAACCGGGATCTGCATCCATGTTGGCAATGTTCTCGTTCTTTAAGGCAGTGCGAAACTGCTCATCGTCTGGCCTTGCTGAGTATAATGCGCTTCGCTTATCTATTAGGTCGTAGACTGCGCGTCTGCTATGTACTATCATTGTTCCTCTCCCGATTTTGAGAGAATACACTTCTCCATATTGTTCACTCCAATCCTTGAATCTAGAATTGGTTAGTTATATATTATAACGCCTTGAACGGGTGTACTGGCTTCTTGTAAAGATTTTTATCAACGACAAGGTGAGCATTTCCGACAATCGGATAAGTTGGCGGGCCCGGTGGGAGATGCTTCTCACGGCAACCAAAGCGCACGAGTTTGAAGATAGCGTAGATAACACTCAGTGCCGAGAAAGCCCAGGAATATGGAAATTGGCTTGCTATAATGTTCATGATGCTTATTTATCTTCGGTTAGATATCCAAATTCTGTCAAACGAGGATGTAAGCTGGGGGGTTTTATATAGCTATTAGAAACTTACAGATGTCCCAGTACTCTCCGTGTCAGACGGAGACGGAGGGGATGCGTGATGGTAATCTACGCTAGTGGGCTAGGCTTAGACTATATAGACTATAGTCGTATGACACCTCGAGGAAACAGTCCGTGCGTACTACAATGCCCGGAACCAGACTGGGCAACGATAAATTTATCGCCGATAAATATTGCTGATATCGATTATTGTATCGTACAATATTTATCGCGATAAATCGCAATAAAATACGCTAACGTAAGCCGCCGCACAAATTAACTTTTCTTTTAATATTCTGTAAAATTCCTTGCTTGTACAATAATTGCATCTGTTTAAAGCGAAGATTAAGATAATAACTCTCTTACTAGTGCTTTTAATACTGCTTAGAGTACAATTTCTAATACTAAATCTCCTTGTACATTAAATATTTATAAACATTGTTGTACAAGAAGATTTAGGTAAACTAAAGAGAAAAGACAGCAAAGATATATTGTTGCGAATATTATAAATTAGGTTCTGCTACATTAACTACAGGACTACAAAGTTATATTTGTACACGCTATAAAGACATTTGAATTAAAGAAGCTTATCTAACACTAGCAACAGCTTCTATTCTATAAATAAAAGCTGCCTATAACTTGTTGTATAATTAGAGGCAGATCTGTAAAATTAATTAGCGTATACTCAATTATGTAAGTAATATAAAGTTTGTTATCTAAGTTTTTATTAATTTAATTATTATATACTAGCTTTCTCTTTATATTATTAAATAGCTTTAATTTTATTAATTTTATTATACTTTTAATCTAAGTAGTCTAACAAAGCGACCTTCTTCTTACTATATAATAAAAAAAAGATTCATAAGTTCTTTCTAAAAGTAAAGAACCTTATATAAAGAATAATTTAATGTATACAGATATAAATCTATCTAGCTGTTAATACCTAGGCGTTGCTAAAGAACTACCTTCTTTTAGCTATCTATGTAAGCTTTGTTAATTACAGTAACTAAGTCTACACTATTCTTATTAGTCTTTGTATATTACTAGACTATAGTAGCAAACATTAGTAGTTAGTCTTACTTCTAGTTAATAAAAGGTATAGCTTAATAAAGTTAATTAGTACAATTGTTAGCAATAATTCTAGTATAAATAATACTTTTATTGTATAATATTAGCATATCTTGCTAAACAGACTAGATTAATTAGAATGTCTTTTAGAATTATATTTGCTGCTAAGAACATATTCTTAACTTTATTATACAAGCATATCCCTTTAGCAATAATAAAAAGAAAGCAGAAATAGCTTTATATAATAAAGATAAGCTTATAGGGGAGTAGCAGGACAAGAAAAAGACAAAGAAGAGACAGAATAAAATATAAGCTTAAATAAAAGTAACAGGTAGGCAAGCTGCATAATCTTATTATATATATCTATGCTTTAGCTAGTTGTACAACAGAATTTGTTTTAAGTGCTAGACAGATAATCTCTTTTAATAATTATATAAGATAGAACAGCTAGTATATAATACGCTTAATGTTGCTTAGAGGTAATCTATTAAAAAATCTCTTGTTTTATATATTAAGAAGTATTATAATACTAATATAATAGATAAAAGAGATATTCTTAGTCTAGAAGATTAGAACTAGCTTTGTACAATCTCTAGTTATCTTGTAATCTTGAAAGAAGCTACTCTACATCTATATAAAGATTATACAACACTTAAAAAAGTATCTAAGAGTTTAGAAGCATTCTATTAGTAGCTTTAGAACACTTTAGTAAGTTATATAATTACTTTTTATTTATTCAAAGTATACTTATTTATTCTAAAAGCAGAAAGTTTCTAAGCTAATTTAAGCTTTACTATAACATGCGCTTCTTAAATTAGAAGAATATATTAAGAAAGTTAATATATCTTCTTACTATAGTGCAGCTTGTGTTTTACCTCTAACAGTTTATATAAGGTTCTTAAAAGATAAGGAAGGCTAATTAACTAAGAAGAGATCTAAATACTATTAGAAAATTAAGCATTTTTAGAATTAATTTTCTTAAAAGTCTTTGCATAAGCCCTCTGCTCTGTACAATATTTAGGCTAACTTGTAGAACGTAGGATTAACCTCTATACAGACAGAGAAGAAGCTTAGCCCCTTTTAGTAGATCCTTTAGAGGCACTGCAAGAACTAGCAGCTATAGAGTTAAGATAAATTTAAGAAGTATTATGCAGAAACGCTATTGTACAAAGTTATAGTATTACTAATAAAGTAGTAGACTTAAGACATATAATAGAAAAGGTCGCTGTGTCTATCTCTTTTTACTCTTAATGTTCTATTAATTCCTGTAATAAGTAATAAGCTAGAACAGGTAATTTCCAGCGCTTATTATATAGTTATTTAGGATATAGCACAGGCTAAACTTTAATAGAATTAAAGTTAGAAAGTTATTACAAGACTAGAAGACAACAGATATCCTTAGACTTATTGTATAATATAGAGTAGATTGATTTTAGTCTAATTGTCTTTGTACAAGAAGAGGCTACTTGTTAATAAAATTCTAACGCTAGTGTAAAAAATACTGTTTTAGTCCAATAATTACAATAATTTATCAACAATAACAATAATTGATCGCGATAAAATACCGTTATCGTTGTCCAGTCTGTCCAGAACAAAGCCTTGCGCTTCGGTGACAGGGTTAAAGGGAACTAGAGAGCTGCGCCGTCGACCCGCAGCCTTGACCATCAGCGGCACGGATAGCGAAGTGGGGATTACACACGATTGAAATCCACACCCCTTGCTATATGTTGCAAGTGACAAAAGGTCAACCTTCTACCATGCACAGCAGAAGAATGTGTAGAGGCGGGAGAAATGCGCGTGCGACTCGATACTTGTAAGAATTTTTGCGATACAATCACGATCTTCAAAAAATTACCGATCCCCCTTTCGGGGAAAGCCAAACGCTTCCTCCGGACCTCGTCAAGAGGATGATGAAGATGACCATACCTTCAAGAGTACGACCCACCTAGGGGGACTTAAAACCTCCGCAATCGGATGACTCTTGCTCTTACTGCAAGAAGAGTTTGTACAAGCATCCATCATCGGTCTTTTATTCGAATTTCTAGATAGCAGTGATGCAAGACGATGTATGTTGAGTAGGGCCATCTCGTGCCATAACGAGCTTAGTATTAGTAGAATACTTTGAAATCGTCAAGGAGCTAACACGCCAGCCCGTTTCCTACACTGCACCATCGGGCCGTTTCTATGGGCTACCATAAAATCCCATACTTGGAACTGCGTCCTTTGTCTCCTTCCCCACATCATATCTGATCTCCCTTGCCCTTCAGTCCCTCCTGGGACACCACGGAAATCATATTGAAAGATAAGCCGTGCCATGGTAACTGCGAGCTCCATACCCGCTAAGCTTTTCCCGGGGCATCCACGGTTGCCATATGAGAAAGCGAAAACCGCCCCTTCGCATGCCTTGACACTTTCGGCAGTTACGCCATTGCCTACAATCCAGCGCTCCGGCCGGAATCGGAAGGGGTCGGGAAAGATTTCCGGGTTGTGGTGAATAGTGTAGACATCGCCCCCGATGATTACGCCAGGAGGGATGACGTCTTCCTTGATACGAATACCGCCAGGAAGAACTTGACGCCGCGACTCGGACCCGCCGTGGGGATTCATGCGCAGAGCCTCGTCGATTGAACCTTGCAAGTATGAACAAGATGCCAGCAGCTTTCCAGACTTGACCTCATCGAGGGAGGTAAATGTTGTACGGATTTCTTCAGTGAGCTTTCCGAGGACAGTTGTATCGTGTACAAGGTAGAAAAATAATGCCGCAATCACTGCAGAGGTCGTATCAGCTCCGGCGGCAATAAGCATATTGGCTTCTTCGCAAAGGTCGACTGGATCGTAGGCTGGTTTTCCAGTCTCGCCATCCTTGGCGTTGATGAGATAGTAAAGCATGTCCTCTCGATCTGGCTGGCTGCCACTCTTCTCATTGATTTTTACCTGCTCTAGTCTCTCGCTCAGATTTTGGGCAACAAAATCCATAAAGAATTGCACGGAGGGGGGTGCTAATTGGGCGGAGAGCTTGTCGATGCCTCTGGGCTTCATGAATAGCCAGATATGTATCAATGGAGAGTAGAAGATCTGTAGGTGAAATGATTAGATAAGTAGCTTATACTTGACAGGAGAAGGCTTACGGTATAGGTGAACTTCATATACTGTGCGACATCCTGAGGAACTGTTCTGAGTTTATTCGGCCCAGGTTTTTTTGTTTCGTAGGTCCATCCAAAGCAAAGGTCACAGAGAATATCGAACACAAAACTGTCCGCCCACTCCGTCATGTTTCTGGGCTCACTCCATCCGTCCTCAGCACCGTCCACCAGAAGCAGACCCCATCGATCTGAGTGTTGAATGACAAATGGTTCAGCGGATCGCACGGCGCGGTCTGAGAAGGCGTACTCGAGATTGCGGCGTCGGCGCTTATGCGCATTCTTATCCGTACACGCAAATGTACTCACTGCTGTAGCATCCTTGGGCCAAATTCCAAATTGCCATGATTTTTGAACGTTGGCATGGGAACCATATATGTCTCGATACGTATCGGGATCGGAAAAGATTAGCGTATCATAGGAGGAACGAATAACGTCGCCTATTATGTCTTAATCCCTTTCCGTACTACTATTTCGAATATGGCATGATTTTATCGTTATATACGTTGTAAATTGCGATCAAGGGCGACCCTGGTATTTGAAGGCAAAGTTGCAGGCGATTGTTCTAGAAATTTGGAGGAACGAGAGAGGGACCTACCATAGATTTCATGACACTGCCAAAGCCACACGTGTCGATTACCTCTGTAAGTATGATAAAAAGATGGCAGTCCAGAGAATTTCGCGAGAAAAGGGCCCGGATATTTAGAGAGAGGATGGAAAACTATACAATAAATCGCACTTGCCACGTACTAAGTAGCTACTTAGCAAAGTATCCTACGAAGGAGAAAATGAGTCCTTACATATACCAAGAATGAACCAATAAAGAGGATCAATACCTCGGGAAAAGAAGTGTTGGCGATTGATATCATCTTTACAGCTCCTTTAACCCTCGGCGCCTCAAGTCACTAACGTTGAAAAATGTATTTCGCGCAATGCAACAAGATTGTTAACACCTTCTATCAGTTTGGAAACTTGGATAGGTCAAAACGATAAGAGCAGATGTTTGGGAAGCATGTCCTGTTGCAATCTTATATTATAAATTTCGCCAAAGACACACGCTTATGTACAGGGTAGGAGGGTTTAGGTGGTCCCGCCGGTGCCCCTTCTCCATGAATTTTCCGTAAGGCCTCTTGAAAGGAACTAGCCCGGTAAGACGGAGCAGAGCGCATGGGCCGGCAGGGGTTATGGTACCTAACCTGGTGGCGGCGGAGCCACCCGCATGGCTGAGAATAGGGGCTTAATGAGCGGTGAGCAGTAACGGCATGAAGGATCCATCCTCGAACCATCCGATCTTGAGGCGTAGCTTATGTGGCCACGGGTATCACTATGCAAAGTTGAGAGTGACGAGCGACAACTGACCTTGGCCCTACCCTCCATGGCGGTCATGGAATGGACTCTGAGTTTAGGTAGGGGTGCCTGTGGTAGGATTATGTCCGTGAGGCGGAGCAGAGTTAGGGGTCTCGAGCAGGTAATCGCCTCCTGGATTTGATTCCAATAAGGTATTTACCTGAGCATCGTGACTCGATTCATACGGCCACTGTATCTTTGCTCACGCTACGTCAGATCTCATAACGTTGAAGCCGCCTTTGAAACTAGTTCTCACTATTGTCTAGACCCATTGTTCTTCTTAAAAAACAAGCCATGCATTGAAACACTCTAAATGCTAACATTGATTGCACTGATGATATACCTGTTGACACTAAAACTTCCTAACTTTGATCAAGAATTTCTGGCACTCTTAACAAGCACTTTTGTACGATACCATCAGGACGTCTTTAACGAAGTCGTTACTCGGATCTCGTTGTTCCGAGCTCCGGGGAAGACCCCATCGTTATTTGATATATGGGTCTGCACCTTGTGGTCCCCATTTCCGGAAAGCATCTCTAAATCGTCTAGCTCCGAATTTGAAACACTTTGCTTGAAAAAGTGACTACTTAGCGGTACCTGTAGAGAATCTTTAACAGGAAAGTACAACCCAGCTGCTTGTGATGTACGCCCGGTATCCGTGGCACGTCGGCTTGACATCATACTTGTGATAAGAGGACGGTAGGTAGGTAGATTGGCGGCCAATACACCAACGCAGAGCTCAACATTTGCTATGAGTGCAGGAATCGCATAATCCCCTGGGAGAATCATTATAAGTGCTCGAAACAGGTAGCGGGTATTGCTTACAGGATGGGTCATGGCTATTTCCGATCTTGTCCACGAAGAAAAGGCGCACAATACTTGCAATGCAGGCTCTAAGTACTGCAAGTCAGTGATATGTTTGAAACACCGGGACTCTAACTCACATTCCACCAATCAAGAACATAAGGAGAAGTAACCTCTTCCTGGCGGCCGACAGGTTCAATCTCCACAGCGATGGTATAGGAAGGGCCAGTATAGCCACGTCCGTGAGAATATTGATAATACCACATATTTTGATCAACATGGGATATTTGATGCAGTGTTTCTTTAGGCTCGCTCCCCATATGGAATCGACGGGAGTACATTGGAAGATGTCTGCGAGTATCTGTGCTACGCTGTATGCGATGATAAAAAGGCCAAGTCCCAACAGAGCCTGGTTGAGCCACCGCTGAGGGAAAATTCGATGGTATAGAAGGAGGATCGAGGATTTGATCAATGGGATAGCCGCATTGTACATGATTTCTGCCACTAGAGATAGCTGATGTGATGGAAATAGTTAGCTATATGCCTCTAATTGATTTTGGGGGATGGCCAAGTCACCTTCACAAATTTTGTAGGATCGTCTAACCACCAAATGTGTCGCCCCATTCCATGCTCAATCATCACTAGGTTCGTCGCGGTATAGACGCCTGTGATTAACTAGAATGAAGACGTTAAATAAAGTCGTTTGTGGGGGGAAATTGTTAGATGTATTACCATGCCACCCACGCTAGCCCAGTCATCCGTCCCCCAAAAAGTCTTTACAAGGCGTCGAGCCCAGAACCTCAAGATTACTGAGGCGAAAGCAACGAAAATGCAAACTACGTGTCCCACAATGAGAGGCACTCGTAGGTTATCATAATCGTTTGCCCTCAACTGCGCAACTTTCTCAGGCGAGAGCGGCGCTGACATCGCGATAAGAAGCAATAGAAATAGAAATGAATTCAGTTCGACTGAGCTGAGATGGAAAAAAAAGACTCCAACTTTGAGCACTCTCGATTGGATCAAGACACATTTCGTATTGAAGGCGTGTCGGAAGCATGGAAGTCAAGAAGGTATCCGGTATCCGGGGACTGTTACATGTGGCGCACACCTTCCGATATCCGGAGGTCAGATAGCTCATTTGTCTGACACTCCGATACGCATAGTCCACACATTGCATATACGGCCACAAGGATGGACATTTGGATCTAGATGGAGGATGAAACTCCTACAAGAAAATCAATCTGGGCTGAGGTGTCGTTAGAGAGAGCTTTCTTAGCGCATTATCGGCTCATGCATCTCGTGCGCCTACGGAAGTCAACTCCCTTTCCCGTGCCAGATCTTCGCCCCCCTGTTCACGTTCTCGCGCTAACAATACCTCCTGCATACAAGGGGGTAACATGAACGGGCCAGCCACCTCTGGTCATTACCCTGATTGTATGTTTACCCCCTGGTACAATATTTTCGTGTGCAGAAATACTCGAACAATTGGTCAGTGCGCTACACGATTCGTTTTGTTCCCCACACGCATTACGCGTGCAAATCGATGCTGAAACCTGGTAGAGAGAGCCCCGATGGAGCGAAAGGCCGTTTCGGCTATCTATGAGTGGTGGAGCTGGTAGAGGACACCAACTTGGTTCCCTTCGTCTGACAGCCAATCGACTGATGTCCACAGACTTGTTGTGTCAGCGGCTCAGCCGGTCAATCAAAGCAACACAATATATGCATCCTTACAGCACGTTGTCTCGGCGTTGATGACATGAAACGATATAGCGCTTCTGGCTGTAATCCGCGAGGCGTAATCAAGGCTCTCTCGATCTCAGAGGGTATATTGATTGAGAAGATGCTGTTCAGTAGTATGGAACAGCTTCTGCGACTGGGTCCGCCCGGAGCCGTCGCTGCGGACCGTGCCGTAAGGATGCATATACAAGGGGGGCTTATGTACAGGGGGGTCTCCTGAGCGGGCTGTTCCGCGTGCACAAGCCAACATCTGTGCGTAGAGTGTTCTAAATAATTTACAACCCTTTGTAAGTAAGTTACTAACAAACTTTACATCCCTTATTTAGCTTACTCTACTACTAAAATATACTATATGTAACGATTCTCATGAATCGTTCCATCTCGGGTCGCCCGGAACCTATCCGAAGGGTCTCCGTATCGGCTCCGACCCTGGCTCGACCCTGACTCGACTCTGCCCGGCCCCCTGCTGTTACCCCTATTCCCTCATGTATTTAGTTGCACCTCGCCCCCGTAGCTAGCTCGGTAGTTTTCTGATATCCTACGTACAAGGCCTATAGGTGTCATTGGTATTCCCAGGTCTCTGAGTCCCCACGCACTCCCATATGCCTCTGAGTGGATTCATACCGCATTCGGACCCATTGTCTTGCCTGCGCCGTTACACTATAATGCTAAAGACACTAAATTAATAATTAATGTATAAGGAGTGTATACAGATTAATACTCTTTATAAGATAAGCTAGAAACAAAAGAATATTACCTAGAAACTAGGGATACCTGCTTCTACAGTCTCTCTCTACCTCTGTACGCCTAAGACGCTTATAAAGCCTAAGGAACAGTCTTCTATTTTATTAACTCTATTTTAAATCCTCCTTATATAGCATGCAACTAAGAACACTAAGCAGTAATTAAAAACTTAAAAGAAAATAGCTTAAAAGCTAGAGATAACTGTCTACTAGTAATTACTTATTAAAGCTTTTAAAAAGAAGCTTTATTATTACTATAAAGCTATAAAGAAGCTTTTTTTTACTAACTAACATAAAGCAGATTACATTAAGTAGGCATAAAAGCACCTAGACTAGACTAGTAATTAATAAGCTAGTATAGGCTAAAGTAATAATATAAGTGCTTAGGCTAGCCCTAGTAAGGTGTAAGTAATAAAAAGAGCTAAAAAGTGCTTTTTACCTACCTACTGTGTTACTTAATTTAAAGGCTACTGAAGCTGCATAGTGTAGGCAATAATAGCTAGGGATATAAAGGGCCCTTTTATTATGTATAAAAAAAGCTAGTGTATAAACTAAAAGCACTTAGTTAACTTTAAGGTCTATATTAAGCATATTCTGCTGCTTATTATAGTCTTTTAAGATGTGTACACAGCATACACAGGCAAGTAGCTAACTTTAATAGAAGATAACACATCTATCTATACATTAAAGGCTATAAAGGAGGCTAAGGAGGCCTTAGATATTTTAAAAATCTAGTAGCTAGTAAACTTACTTAACCTTAACTTTATTAAAAATGTCTAGCAGATCTTAAAATATTACCTAGAGAAGCGCTTTCTAAAGACTAATAGTAAAGTAAGGCAGTACTTTTTTAAAAAGTAAAAGAAATTATTTTTTAGTAACTATAGTAAGTACATTAAGTTAATAAAAAAGCGCTATTAGACAGTTATTAAGGCTAAAGGTAGACATATAAAGTAGTAAGACAGTAGTAGGATAAAATAACAGTATAATGCTTATTTGTATGTATTTTATATAGAAAACAGCATTTTAAGAGCATTCAAGAATCGCTGGCCTGTGCGCGCGGGTGCAGCCCGTTCATGGAGGGGGGTTGTACGGGTTGCTCCCCCCTCCGCCCCCCCCCTGTCAACGCCACTTGGGGGCCAAATTTAACGCTGAATCTCTTAATTTAATCCTCTTAATTAAGTGTTTAATTCTGCTAAGTGTGATTTTAATTATATAGAGAATTAAAGACCTTTTACCACTTTATATAGCCTCCTCCTGCCTCTATTACAGCTATGCAGCGCTCCCTTATGTTTGTTACATACTTTAGAAAGTTAGATAGAATAAGCTTAGCCTACTCCTTCTTTACATATTAACGTACTTCTTTAGTAGATTTTAGAAACTGTTACAATCCTTGCTCCGACGAAATTGTTACAGCCAACAGTCAGACCGTAATGACCCAACTGGCTGTCCCACACAGCCCGAACGACGTCGGATGGAAGACGCTTAGCCCCGCGCTGAGCGAATCACGTGATAGGACGGATGAGGAATAGCTCCAGCTTTTAGAGAAAAGCCTCGCCGAATGCATCATCTAATAGGACATGCAGGCTTGCAGGCTTGCAGGCTTGCAGGTTGTGCAGGCTAGGTAAGCATGCAAACATGCAAGCATGCAAAACATGCAAAACCTATGTATATAGTCTTAATCACAACTATAGTTAAAAGGTTATAATTACTATTTAGTCTTTACCTACTTAATAGACTAAGAGGCATTAAAACTTTTATAAAGAGGACATTACTGCCTTGTATATCTTGCACTATATATACCTCTATTCCTATCCTTACAGATTAGGTTTGCCAGCTCCTTATACAGCTGCTAGGTTAAACTATAACCTGCCTTCTTTATTACGCCTACCCTACACTCTACTTAACAGACTGTACACCTAATTTAGCTAAGTTCTATTCCTCTTTTTTTTACTAAACACTCTATAGGCTGTTATACTCTTAAAAATACTATTTTATTAGAGTAAGGATTGTAACAGTAATCACCACTACCTGCAAAGTATAGCTACTACCACCTTAGACATCAGCATAACAGGTGCTTCAGCCGCTGGCACTAGCTAGACCCCTACAGCAACTAAGGAAGCACAGAATTAGCAGATACTTTATCTCTAGAACAAGCTTAAACAGCTTAAACAGCACCTCTAGCTACAGGCATAACAGGGACCCTTAAACGTCCACTAGATCTAAGCCCTTTAGCTAGAAGTAGCTAACCTTAGAAACATTACTTAAGAAAAAACTAGTATTAAGTCTAAAAAGACCTTACGCCTAGCCCCCCCTAAGGCATTTAATAGCTCTGCTAAGGACCTAAAACCTTTCTTTACTAGATGCCACCTCTACATGCAATACAATAAGGGTGCCTTTAAAACTAATAAAGAAATAATCTTATAGATAGGTCTACACTTAGAAGGATCACCTGCTATTTAGTTCTAACCTTACGCTAAGCATACGCGTAGCTTCTCTAAGAAAAAAAGCAGTACCTCTAGGAGTGTAAGGCCACCCTTAAATAAGGAACAAAAGAAATAGCTTAAAGAGAAGGCATGCCTTAACTGCAGAAAAGTAGGTTACTTCTGTTAGGAATGCCTAGACTTTAAACAACTAAAGAATAAAGATAGTAGATTAACTATAAAAGTTATGTACATTAACAGAAGCCTAACTTATAAAGAAATACACAACAGGCTTAACAAACAACTCTGCTAGAGATGCAGAGACAACTACAAATCCTCTAACTGTCTAATAGACTATTAGGAGGTTAAGGTCTAAAACAGAGACAGCATCTCTAGGGCTATTAAACAAGCTGCAGTCTTTAAAGGATAGAGACACCTAGTGTAAATAGCTAACTACGTTAAAAACGTATAAACAGGAGAAAAACAATATCCTCTTAAATAAAGCAGACTAGGAATCCTGCTATAGGAACTTAAGTAACGTTTTAATTAAGAAAACTGTTAGAAGTGCAGAGGATCCTATAACTATAACCTCTGCAGAATAGGACTATATAAAG